TGTAAAGGTAGAAGTTTTGTAACAAAAAAAGGGGAGTGGTTAATCTTACAGTCCAGAAACAGAGGACCCTAGGACCATCAAGAGAGAAGTGCACAGGCAGAATGTGGGACCTTATCCAGAGAAGCAGCAGCGCCAGAGATGGGGGCATGGAGAAGGGGAGTGGCTGAGGACTCTAGATTCATGGACTAAGATGAGAAGGACTAAGAGCTGGTGTCCAGGAGCAGACTTGCAGAATGTGCCCTTTCTAAATGTAAATTATTATATATGCCTGCGTGGGTTTTTTTTGTTGTTTGTTTTTAAAAAAAGCTAAAGTAGATAGAAATACTGTTAACTGATGGTACAAGGGGCGGGATTATAATCAATGTAATGAAACAAGGTATATGATTTATTGAATGTAAAACTGATGATATGCCCTGTTAACTTTCACTCAATCCACAATAAAAACCTTAAAAAACAAACAAACAAACAAAAACCAAACACACACACACACACACAAAAACACTACAATAGAGTTGAGGATCATAAGGAAGAAGTCAGTTAGGAAAGCGCTACAGGAAAAATCAAATAAGATAAATACAGCATTGGAAACAATTCAAAACCTAAAGAAAGAGGTCCAAACAATTAATAATAGAATATCACAAATGGACAATATACTGAAAGGGCAAAGGAGTAGAATTGAAGAGTTAGAAGCCAGAACTAGTGAGCTAGAAGATAAATCTCTCAACACTACTAAGTAGATAGAAGAGCAAGCAGAAGAAGTTAAAAAATATCTGAAGGAGGCCTAAGATTCATGTTGGACAATATGAAGAGCAATAACTTAAGAATTATCGGCATACTGGAACAGGAAGAATTACACAGAGGAGATAGTTGAAGAGATGTTGGAAGAAAATTTCCCTAACATCCTGAAAAGCTAAAAGATAAGCATTTAAGAAGCTCAACGAACCCCAGGAAGGCGAAACTCTAAAAGAAAACTACCAAGACATATCATTATCAAGTTCTCCAAAATCAAATATAAGGACAAAATCCTGAAAGCAGCTAGGGGAAAAAGAAATGTACCATACAAATGCAAGCAAATCAGATTAAGCTCGGATCTCTCAGCAGAAACCATGCAAGCAAGAAGGCAATGGGGATTCATATATAAAACCCTGAAAGAAAAAATAACTGCCTACCAAGAGTCCTCTACCCAGCAAAGCTGTCAGTCAAATACAACTGTGTAATCAAAACATTCCAGGATGAACACAAGCTAAGAAATTTTGCCCAAGCCAACCCTGTGATGAAAAACATCCTAAAGGGAGTTCTGTGGATCGAGAACCAACAAGAACAGTCATCAACCAGAGTTTGACGTATGTGGCAACATCACCCTGAACTGATTGAGTTGTTGAACAACTGATTTGTTGATTGAACAAATGGAAGAGTTGAGAACAGAATAAAATTATAAGAACAGATGATCTGGGAGATTAGTGTATGATCAAAACAGTTATAATGTGAAAGAAGGTAAACACAGAGGAATAGAGATCCAGGTGTTGATAAGGTCAGGTAAATTACAGGATAAAATAGACTGTTTTAAATGGAGGGAAAAGTTAATGGAACATAAGGTAACTGCAACAGTGAGATTGGGGTGTGGGTTTTAGTTAGGGTGTTGGGGACAGTAATACAAGAAGGTGGGGAGGAGGTGGAAGAACAAGATAGATAGGGGAACACTGAGACAGGTTTGCATGGCCTAAGTGGAACAGGTAAATAGTGATGCATGCTCAGCCTTGGAACAATAGGGCTCTTTGATACAGGTATCTAGGCATAGTTTGAAGAGGGGAAAGAATACTAAAATGCTTGACTGTCTTATGAATATTGTTTTCACTTGCCTACTATTGTAAAATAGACACTTGAATGGAATAGAAAGGATGTAGAGAAACATGATTACAGAAAATTTGTAAGCCCATCTTCAGCCTATAACTGATTGGAATACCTAAAAGGGATTCTACAACTTGCCCAGTGCAATAGGCCTCTTGCAGAGCCTTTGCAGAGTATAGGACCTTAGGTGGAATCCTGAATCCCATCTGGAACCTTCTGAGGTGGGACATTTCCACTAGCAAGGACAAACTACCAGCCTCGAACAGCTAGAGTGACAGAAGATACATCTTCAAAGAAAGACCATCAGGAAAAACCCAAAACAAAAATGTCAGTATGACTGGCTACCAGAAGAACAAGCAGGCTGTTCACCAGGTAGCAATTAAGGCAAGCAGTCAAGATCCTTCAGGAGAAACTCCCCTCTAAGACTGAAACTCAAAGGGAACACATGAGCAGGCATGTAAGCTTACTGGTGACCACATTGGTCTACTGTTGAGCTGAAAAGGGGGAAAGGCAGCAATGAAGAAATGGGCTGAGTTCAACCACAGTCCATTGAGAGAGAAGACGAGGGGAAGGGCTGGTTGGTCCAAAGTGTGGTGAGACCTGGAGACACCTGAGCCCATGGACAAGGACATAGCCGCAGAGGGATAGAGCTGAGAGTGAAATATCAGCTGATATGAAGTGAGGGGAGACATGCAAGAACACCCAAACTTGCAGACAGTACCCATTTGACCTAGCCTCAACGGCTTGATAATCAGAACTTGAAAAAATATTGATTGATTAATTTTTTAAGGAAACAAGGGTAAATTGTAACAATTTGATGAACCTCACCTATATTCATGGAGGTAGTAACTCTACCAAAAGAAAGGGAAGGAATCTTCACATCAAATATCAGTGCTATATATAAACTTTAACTTAATTCACAACAAAAACTTATTAAAAAAAAAAAAAGTAGCAGGATTAAAATTACAATATTTTTATTAGAAGTAGTATTATTATTGGTGTTTGGATGCTCAAATGACTGTGTAACTTGCCATATTTTTAAAGGTATCGTGTGTTTTACTTTAGGATGTTGAGTCCTATATCCATCGTTCTGGACGCACAGGTAGAGCTGGCCGGACAGGAGTTTGCATATGCTTTTACCAACCAAGAGAAAGAGGTCAACTAAGATATGTGGAACAAAAAGCAGTAAGTCGAGTTAAATTATTTCAGGCATTCTTATTAGCTAAATGGTGTCTTAGAAAAGAGCTCTTGTTATAGTCTCATAAATAGATCTGTATAGCTTGTCTCAGTTTAAGTTGCTTTTGGATGTGAAGCATGTGGAGAGCTAAATTTATATTAGCTGCAAGACTTTGTTTTTAATAAAGCTGTTATTGTGAAGACAGAGGAGCTGACTCTCATTTTCTTGTTGAATTTCTCCCTTGATACTAAAATCAGAAGTGCATTGTGATTTCATACCTCTTAGTCCAGCATTATACATGAGTGACTGGAAATTTTGACTTGGGGGTAATAGCTAAGATTGAGTAATGATACAAAAGATACCCTATAAGATATTATACATTTCTTTGGTCTGTATTTTTTGTGTAATTTCACATTTTCCCTTATATTTAATATGTGTGTTTTTGTATGCTGCTTCAAATACTTTGTAAAATAAGGTGGGCTAATTAAAAAAAATTTTTGATATAAACAGCATCTTTTTATTTTATTTTTTAGAAATCTGCTTTGTTTTATAATGGAATTTCATGATTATAACAAATAAAGGGGCAATTCAAAAAAATTTTTTTCTTATTCTGGAATTTATAATTCATAATTTATTTTAAAAAGCAGATCTTTGGTTAAAGCTTGGAAATCGTTGTATCCAAGAAATGGAAATTCAACAAACTATTAATTTAAAAATTAATTGTAAAGAGTTCCATTTTTCTTTAATATAATTCTTTCATTTTCAGGGAATTACTTTTAAACGTGTAGGTGTTCCTTCTACAATGGATTTAGTTAAATCTAAAAGCATGGATGCCATCAGGTATGCTTTCTGACCTTGCTGAATAATTTTTTTTTTGTATTAGGCTATTCATCTTTAACCTCTTTTAGTTCAATTATCAGAAAAACTTAATCACCAGTTTTGTCAGCAGATACTTAGTTATATTAAAATAAGAAAATGTTGCTCTTTCTTTTCCCATTCATTCTCTTATCTTTCATTTTTCACTTGTGTCTTGACCAAGAAAATTACTATTTTTAAACCATAGGTCTCTGGCTTCTGTTTCTTATGCTGCTGTTGATTTTTTCCGACCATCAGCTCAGAGACTGATAGAAGAAAAAGGGGCAGTGGATGCATTGGCTGCAGCATTAGCCCACATCTCTGGTGCATCGAGTTTTGAACCACGATCTTTGATCACCTCTGATAAGGTAGAAAATTGTATTTGGTTAGGGAAAAACTGGAACCATAGCAGATACTGTATATGAGTATTACGTTTAACTTCTTCACTATGTTGTTCTTTCTGTGTAGTAAAACTGTTTTGCTTGGATAGGAATTAGTCTCTTTTACCTCCAATCCCTAGTACCTTTTTTGACTACCAGAGCTTTCGAATTTTTAAGCTTACAGAAAGAATGAAAGAGTAGTACAATAAACATAATCACATTCAACAACCTAATATTTTTTGTCATATTTGCTTTTTATGCTTTTTTATAACCAAACCATATAAAAGTTTTATAATGTTCGTCTCTATTTCTGTATGCATCCTTTAAAAGGACACTCTCCTCCATAATCACCATGCTAGAATCTTACCTGTTGAAATTAATAATAATTCCTTGTTATTTAGTAAGTAATTCATATTCAAGTTTCCCAAATTATTCCAATAATGTGTGTCTGTCTATCTGGAAGATGTACATGAAATTGTCACTTTGTATAAGACTGCAATGCAAAGTAAGAAATAGTTTTTGTGCAATTTTAATACAGGTGGTTGTGCAATGTTAATACAAGTGGTAGAATAGTTAAATGCGTGCCTGGTAACTAAAAAGTTGGCAATTTTATCCCACCCAGCAGCTCCAAAGGAGAAAGAACTGGCAATCAGCTTCCATAAAAATGACAGGCAAGGTTCTGGGGCAGGATGGCGGAGGAAGCAGACGCACTGAGCAGACCCTCTGCAACAACACTGTGGGAGACCAAGTAAAACAGATACTAATGGTGATTCTGGAACCCTGAGCTTCTGTTGATTGGACAGAGGTGGATTAAGTGCTGACAAGGAGATGAAGCTGAACAGGAGCAACAAGAGAAGAAAAATGGGTGTATTGTCCTGTCCTGGAGCTGCAAAGCAACCTTGAATGTTTTCAGTAGCTGTTAATAACAGTGACCTAGAGGCCCAGGACACAGCTGGAGGGTGGTGGCAAGGAGAGTCAACTCTCCCTTGTTCCCCATTCCCTCTTCATAGCCAGGGGCATGGCCACTTCCTGCCATGCCAGCCCAGCGGCCAGTAGCACACTTCTGGGCAGCCTCTGTTCTGCTCAGAGTCATACACTAGGTGTATGATCCCTGCATTCAGAGTCTCATGGACCCACCCTGAACTACACTACATAAACTGAACAGAGAACTGCATTCACACTTCCAGTTTCTATCGCATCCATTGGGAGACAGTTGGTGAGTTCCTGAGAACACATCAACATAAAATTTTCAATTAAATACAAATATGACATCACAGTATCTTGGAGGCCAGGTGATTTCAGCTTAAATGAGGAAACAAGACAGTGCCTTAAACAAGTGACCAGAATGGTATGGGAACTACTTAATAAGGAATTTAAAATTAAGAGTGATATTTAGGTACTGTCAGTGGATTGAGACAGTGATTGAGAAACTGCACATGAAGTCAAGGGAAACATAGACAAGGCCAACTTTAGAATAATTTAGGAAAACACAAGAACATATTGACAAAATAAATGAAAAATTGGAAACTGTACAAAATCAGCAATTAGAAAGTCAGACGAATAATACTAAGACTTGGGTTAATACTTTGATATCAGAAATAGATAATACATTCAAAGGGCAAGGATGTGGAATTGAATCAATGGAAGGCTTAATTAATGAACATTTGAAGACGGACAATCATTTATGTAGATACTATCAAGAGGAATAGCTTATGTGTAACTGAATTCCAGAACAGAAAGAGACAAAAAAAAAAAAAAAATCCAGCAAAAGAATAATTTTCAGACTTCTGGCAAGGTGGTGAATGAACTAGGCAGACATGCTACATAGACCCTTCACAACAAATAAGTTGTTGCTCTTAAGTGTTAAGGTCTTGACCCATAGTGACCCTGTGGGGAGACCAAATGAAACAGACACACGAAAGACAATCTTGGAAACCTAAACATCAGAGAAATGGTTAGAGACATGGATTGAATACCTACTGGGAAGAGAAGTTGAGCAGGGGCAGCAAAAGAAGAAAATTGGCTGGTGCGTAGACTGCTGGCCAAACACAGTGTTGCCATCTTGAACTTAAGTGAGGAACTTTGGAAAGACGTATGGTGGCTTGACCAGTGCAGGTTCACACAGGTGATGGAAAAAGTGCCATTCCTTCTTGCTCCCCACACTTCCTTGGAGAACAGAAGTGAGGCTGGCACCCACTCTCATCCTCATCTACAGCAGACCTTGGTCTCTGGGTATTCTGAGTCACATGGTTTCAGCCAGTGTGAGGCAGATGCCTGGTGTGCCATCTTCATGCCTGTATTGAGGTGGGCTCTGCTGCAGATCTGTAGAACCCACAGAGCCTCCAGGCCAGAATTAGACTAACAGGAACCTTCATAATCAACCACCCTGCCCCCATCTGCTCTCTAGTTCTGATAAACACTGAAACTAGCAATGTCAATGATGTCCACTAACTGCTCCCAGATTGGATGCCCTGAACATAGTTCTATAGGAACTCCCTCTAGGGCTGGGAACTCAGCCATCACATCCGTCCTCCACTGTCCTGGTGAATTCCTAGGTTGACAGAGTTTTCTCCTCTCTGGGACCAATAGTTGCACTGTTTTTTTTTGTTTTTCCTTTCACTTTTGAGTTTTGGGGGGTTTTGTTTATTCTTTTTTTCCCCTTCTTCCTCTCTTCCCTTGGTTTTTATCCTTTCCATCTCTATATTTGTTGTTTCTTCTTCTGTTTCTCATTTCCACCCTCTTCTTTCACTCTTAATTTTCCTTTATCACTCTCTAGTCTCTTTCTCTTTTATCTTCCCCTCATTTTTTTGGTATTTTCTTCTCTTCCTTTTATTTTCTATGTTTTTTCTTTTGCACACCTGTATTTTCCTGTTCCACATTTCTCTTGTTGCTCTTTTTTTCTGGTTGCTGCTAGTGTTGTTGTTTTTTGTTTTTTTTTTCATCATTCTATTTTCATTGTTGTTTGCTTGCTTCGTCCATTTTATTTTCTTGTGTGTGTTTTTTCCTTTTGTCCCATCTTACAGGAGACAGCAACCTTACCCATACAGCTCAGCAACAACTGAACTCTCTACAACTCTACCCACTGAACAAGAGCTAATACCAGCTCCTATACCACCTAAGCAATGATACACATCAGCCAGCATCAGCCAAACTTACCCTAAACTTCATGAACAGTGAACAGAAAATGGTACACATGCTTCCATTCTCTATTCACTCCTACCATAGCGTATCAGTTAAATATAAATAACGACAGCAGTATCCTAGAGACAGCAAACTATTTTAGCTCACATGAAGAAACAAGACATACTACAAGGTCCGTGGTTCAAACTCACCAGCTACTCCTCGGACAGGGTCTCTGAGTCAGAACCAACTTGACAGCATTTAACAACAACAGACATAACTGAAGAAGGAAATAGACAAATGCAATAATAGAGTCTCTGAGTCAGAACCGACTTGACAGCATTTAACAACAAACAGAACTGAAGAAGGAAATAGACAAATGCAATAATAGAGTTTTATACTCCACTTTTGATGAAGGACAGTACGACTAGAAACTGAACAAAGACACAGAAGAACTAAACAACACAGTCATATACAGAGAACTCACTCCAATAACAACACAGTCTGCATTCTTTTTCAATGTACATGTAACATTCTCAAGAACAGGCCATATGTTAGACCACAAAGAAAAAAAAATACCTCAATAAATGTTAAAACAACAAACTACTACAAAGCATCTTCTCAGATCATAACACTATAAAATTTGAAATCAGTAATAAGAAAATCAGGGGGAGGGGTGGGGAATCAATTATATCTCATTTGAACAACACCCTTAAAATTTAAAAGCTACTGAGTAATTAAAAAAGTAAAATGCAATAAAAAATGCCTTGAATCAAACAAGAATGAAAACACAACATACCAAACCATTTGGGGCACAGCAAAAGCAGTTCTCATAGTGCATTTCATAGCAATGAATGCACACATCCAAAAAGAAGAAGGAACCAAAATCAGTACCTTAACCCAGCATCTCCAAAAATGAGAAAAGAACAGCAAAGTAAGCCTTATAGCTACCAGAGGAAAATAAGTAATAAAGGTTAAAGCAGAAATAAATGAAACAAAAAACAAAAACAATATAATCAATAAAACAAGTTGGTTCTTTGAAAGGATTATATAAAATTGACACACTACTTTTAAGTGTAGAAAAGAAGGATAAGATGCAAATAAACACAAATCATATGGGTGACATCAAAATAGAAATAAAAAGGATAACACACCACCATGTAAAATTGTACTGCAACAAATTTGAAAATCTAGAAGAAATGGGTAAATTTCTAGAAACATACAACTAACACAGACTGAAGTAAAAACTTGAATAGACTTAGCACTAAAGAAATTGATCAAATCATTAAAAGACTTTCAACTTTAAAAAGTCCAGGCCCAGATGGATTTACTGGCGAATTCTACCAAACATTCAGAGAGGTGCTGACAACAGTTCTATTCAAACTACTCCACAATTTAGAAATAGAAAACTCACATTCATTTTATGAATCAAGCATAACTTTGATACCAAAACCTGGGAAAAGACATCATTAAAAGAAAAAAAATTATAGACTAATGTCTCTCATGAACAAAATGCAAAATTATCAAAGTATCTTGGCCTATAGAATCCAAGTTGGATTCAGAAGAGGGCGTGGAACGAGAGATATCATTGCTGATGTCCGATGGATCTTGGCTGAAAGCAGAGAATATCAGAAATGTTTACCTATGCTTTATTGAGTACGCAAAGGCTTTCAATTGTGTGGATCATGACAAGCTATGGACAACATTGCAAAGTATGAGTATTCCAGAACACTTAATTGTACTTCTGAGAAATCTATACCTGCACCAAGAAGCAGTTGTTCGAACAGAGCATGGGAACACTGAACATTTTAAAATTGGGAAAGGTGTGCGACAAGGTTGTATTCCTTCACCATACTTATTCAGCCTGTATGCTGAGCAGGATTGGTGGAAGACTCATTAACAACCTGCGATATGCAGATGATACAACCTTGCTTGCTGAAAGTGAAGAGGACTTGAAACATTTACTGATGAAGATCAAAGAACACAGCCTTCGGTATGGATTGTATCTCAATGTCAAGAAAACAAAAATCCTCACCACTGGACCAATAAACAACATTCTTATCAATGGAGAAAAGATTGAAGTTGTCAAGGACTTCATTCTTCTTGGATCAACTATCAATGTTCACGGAAGCAGCAGTCAAGAGATCAGACGACGTATTGCATTAGGCAAATCTACTGCACAGGAACTTTTTTAAAGTGTTGAAGAACAAGGATTTCAGCTTGAGGACTAAGGTGTGCCTGACCCAAGCCATGGTATTTTCAATAATCTCCTATGGATGCGAAAGCTAGACAGTGAATAAAGAAGATTGTAGAAGATTTGATGCCTTTGAATTGTAGTTTTGGAGAATACTGAAAGTGCCATGGACTGCCAAAAGAACCAATAGATCTGTTTTGGAAGAAATGCAGCCAGAGTGCTCCTTGGAGGCCAAGATGGCTAAACTTCGTCTCTCATACTTTGGACAAGTTGTCAGGAGAGAACAGTCGCTGGAGAAGGATGTCATGCTGGGTAAAATGGAGAGTCTGAGAAAGAGAGGAAGACCCCCAACGAGATGGATCAACCAGGTAGCATCATTGATGGCATCAAGTGAGGCAGCGGTAGTGAGGTTGGCCCAGGATGAGACATTGTTTCGTTCTGCTGTGCATGGGTGACATCATGCTATGAGTCGGTTCTGGCTTGATGGCACCTAACAACAACAACAACAATAGAATCCAACAACATATCAAAAAATAGTACATCATGACCAAGTGGGATTCATACCAGATAATGCAGTGACGGTTTAATACTAGAAAAACGACATAATCCACTACATAAATTAAAAAAGGAAAAAACACGTGATCACATCAATTGATGCACAAAAAGCATTTGACAAAACAACACCAATTCCTAATTAAAATAACAAATACTCAACAAAATTGGAATAGAAGGGAAATTCTTCTACATAATTAAGGGTATATATACAAAACCACAGGAGTCCTGGTATGGCGCTGGGGTTAATGCATTGGACTGCAAGGTTGACAATTCAAGCTTACCAGCAGCTCCTTAGAAACCCAGGGTCAGAATGGGTCAGAAATGACTTATCGGCATTTAGCAACAACAACACAAAACCAACAGCCAACAAACAGGCAGCGTCACATAGTAGAACTGCCTCCTAGGACTTTTCTGGCTGTAATCTTCATAGGTGCAGATCACCAGGTCTTAACAACCAGTGATGTTGAACATCTTTTCATGTGCTTGTTGACCCTTTTTCTATTTTTGAGAAGTATTTGTTTAAGTCCTTCACCTATTTTTAAAAAAATCTTTTTATTGTGAATTGATTACAGAACATCTCATCAGTCCCATATTCAACAAACTATTCACTTCGTGTCATTATAATGATTGTAGTCCACTCCATTGCCATCAGTCAACAGTATTATATACTGTCTATATTCACTTCATTTTTTCCCTCCCCAACACGCTCCACCGCCCTGTAACCATCATGGAATGTTTCGTTTTTCAAGAGTCTTCTTTTTTACAACAATGGTCTCATTAGATAGTTTGTCCTTTTGTGATTGACTGATTTCACTCAGCAATTTTTTACTCTAGGTTTATCCATGTTGTGAGGTGTTTTGTAGATTCATCATTATTCTTCAGTGCTGTGTAGTATTCTGTTCTGTGTATATACCAAAGTTTATTTAACCATTCTTCTGTTGATGGGCATCACCTTTTTGATGTGTCTCTTGTAGACTCCCCATGAATTTGTCACATTGTGATGGCTTGTGTATTGCTGCAATGCTGGAAGTTATGCCACCAGAATTTTGAATACTGGCAGGGTCACCATGGTGGACAGATTTTATTGAACTTCCAGACTAAGACAGACTGGGAAGAAGGAGAAGTGGACTACTTCTGATTATTTAACCACTGAAAACCTATGAATAGCAGTGAAACATTGTCAGCTCCAGAATATTGAGTATTAAAACATGATGAGAATAGCACCACAATATTTTCAGATAAAGATGAACATATCAGGTTGGAAGGCATTCAAAATACTACTGGAGAAGAGCTACGTCTTCAAAGAACAGTTGACTGTGATGATGTGAATGGAGTAAAGCCTTCGGGACCTTAATTTGCTGATGGGGCACAACTGTAAAAGGAGAAATAGCTGTAAACATCTATTAATGATTGGAACATTGTACAAAACATGAATGTAGGAAAATTGAAAGTTGTCAAAAATGGAATGTATAAACATCGATATCGTAGTCATTACTGAGCTGAGATGGACTGGTATTGGCTATTTTGAATCACATGGTTTACTATGTGGTTAAAAAAAAACAGGCAATCACATGGTTTATTTACTATGCTGGGAATCATATTGAGAAAGAATGATGTCACATTCATCAACAAAAAATATTTCAAGATTTAGGAGCTCTGGTAGCGTAGTGGCTACGAATCGGGCTGCGAACCTTAAGGTCAGCGGTTCGAAACTACCAGCCGCTCCGCGGGAGAAAGATGAGGCTTTCTACTCCCGTAAAGATTTACA